GCGTGAAAACAGTGACATCCACCGAGACGCGAATTGTCACATGGCAGTAATTTCAGCGTTCATGGATAGGTTCAGCGTGTAATGTTAGTGTGTAATGTTAGTGTGTAATGTTAGTGTGTGATGTTAGTGGTGTGATGTTAGTGTGTAATGTTGGTGTGTAATGTTAGTGTGTAATGTTAGTGTGTAATGTTAGTGTGTAATGTTAGTGTGTGATGTTAGTGTGTAATATGTTAGTGGTGTAATGTTAGTGTGTAATGTTAGTGTGTAATGTTAGTGTGTATGTTGTGTGTGATGTTGTGTGTAATGTTAGTGTGTAATGTTAGTGTGTAAGTTAGTGTGTAATGTTAGTGTGTGATGTTAGTGTGTAATGTTTAGTGTGTAATGTTAGTGTGTAATGTTAGTGTGTTAATGTTAGTGTGTAATGTTATGTGTGATGTTAGTGTGTGATGTTAGTGTGTGATGTTGGTGTGTAATGTTAGTGTGTATGTAGTGTGTAATGTTAGTGTGTAATGTTAGTGTTGATGTTAGTGTGTAATGTAGTGTGTAATGTTGAGTGTGTGATGTTTAGTGTGTATTGTTATGTGTAATGTTAAGTGTGTAATGTTAGTGTGTGTGATGTTAGTGTGTGATGTTAGTGTGTAATTTAGTGTGTAATGTTAGTGTGTAATGTTAGTGTGTGATGTTAGTGTGTGATGTTAGTGTGTAATGTTAGTGTGTATGTTAGTGTGTAATGTTAGTGTGTAATGTTAGTGTGTGATGTTAGTGTGTGATGAATGTTGGTGTGTAATGTTAGTGTGTAATGTTAGTGTGTAATGTAGTGTGTGATGTTGGTGTGTAATGTTAGTGTGTAATGTGATGGGTGATGTTAGTGTGTAATGTTTAGTGTTGTATGTTAGTGTGTAATGTTGTGTGTAATGTTAGTGTGTATGTTAGTGTGTGATGTTGGTGTGTAATGTTAGTGTGTAATGTTAGTGTGTAATGTTAGTGTGTAATGTTAGTGTGTGATGTTAGTGTGTAATGTTAGTGTGTAATGTTAGTGTGTAATGTTGTGTGAATGTTGTAGTGTGTAATGTTAGTGTGTGATGTTAGTGTGTGATGTTAGTGTGTAATGTTAGTGTGTAATGTTAGTGTGTAATGTTGAGTGGGTAATGTTAGTGGTGTATGTTAGTGTGTAATGTTAGTGTGTAATGTTAGTGTGTATGTTGTGTGTTAATGTTAGTGTGTAATGTTAGTGTGTAATGTTAGTGGTTGTTAGGTAATGTTAGTGTGTAATGTTAGTGTGTAATGTTAGTGTGTAATGTTAGTGGTGATGTTAGTGTGTGAATGTTAGTGTGATGTTGTGTGTAATGTTAGTGTGTAAGGTTAGTGTGTAATGTTAGTGTGTGATGTTGGTGTGTAATGTTTGGTGTGGAATGTTAGTGTGTAATGTTAGTGTGTAATGTTAGTGTGTAATGTTAGTGTGTAATGTTAGTGTGTAATGTTAGTGTGTAATGTTAGTGTGTGATGTTAGTGTGTGATGTTTGTGTGTAATGTTTGGTGTGTAATGTTAGTGTGTAAATGTTAGTGTGTAATGTTAGTGTGTAATGTTAGTGTGTAATGTTAGTGTGTGGTGTTAGTGTTAGTGTGTGATGTTATTGTGTACTGTTAGTGTGTAATGTTAGTGTGTACTGTTAATGTGTAATGTTAGTGTGTGATGTTAGTGTGTGATGTTAGTGTGTAATGTTGGTGTGTAATGTTAGTGTGTAATGTTAGTGTGTAAATGTTAGTGTGTAATGTTAGTGTGTAATGTTAGTGTGTGATGTTAGTGTGTGATGTTAGTGTGTAATGTTGGTGTGGTAATGTTAGTGTGTATGTTAGTGTGGTAATGTTAGTGTGTAATGTTAGTGTGTGATTGTTAGTGTGTAATGTTGGTGTGTAATGTGGTGTGTAATGTTAGTGTGTATGTTAGTGTGTATGTTAGTGTGTAATGTTGGTGTGTAATGTTAGTGCACATGATAGTGTACCATATTAGTGTACATGTTATGTACAATGTATGTCGCTTATAACACTAACATGTAAGTCAGAGGGCTGTTTTTTACCCATAAAGTTAAATGTCCATTATTAACACGTAACATTAAATAGCAACTTTCCAGGAAAAATGTTCCATGAAGTCTACTTGTATTTTTGGGTGTTGACATTTTTATTTTTGAGTTGTTTAATATTATTTATGTAAATTTGGAGTACACTTTCTACATAATTTTTTTGGTTGTATTTATTTTCTGCAATATTTTATTTTTATGTTTTTATGGTTTATTTGTTATGCACGCGTTTTAAGGTTTATGGTTGGGGGGGGGGGGGGGTGGGGGGGGAGGGGGAGGGTAGGGGGGGGGGGGGGGGGGGGGGTAGGGGGGGAGTAGGGGCTGGGGGGCGGGGGGCGGGGTGGGAGAGTTACCCGGCGGTGTACGGGTTCGTGGTGGCCACATCTTCACTACACCACACAGTTTCTGCGTCACCGTAGCCATCTTCACTGCCCACTGCGTCACCGTTCGGTGGCTGATGACGCTTTGGTCTCACACTGTTCCTGTTTCTCACAGTGGCCCTGTGGGGGGGGTGCGCCCCCACCTTTTAACACCATTGGGTTCATTTGGAGTTATATTGAAAAAATCTTATTATTTAATTAAATTATTTATTCAATAATAATATAATACTCTTTCATTTAATAATATAATATTTTAATAATAAAATAATTCTTTAATTTAAAAATATAATAATTTAAATCAGTTATTAATATGATAATTTAAACATTTTGTAATGTAATAAGTAAATTCTTTTAGCATTTATAATTTAATAATTTGATCAGTTAATAATATATTATTAAAATAATTACTTATGTTACAATTTACACAATTTCAAAAATGCCCTATACTGATTTACATATAAATCTATACTCCAGTCACATATGTGGTAAATTATGCAACAAATCTATTGCTACAATTATGTCAATATATCAGGGCATTATATAATGCGATATAAGCTGTGTATATATATCTAGAATCTAGGAAGCTAAGGGGAAACTAATTTAATTCAATTCCATTCCCTGGGGAACTTTATTATTAACATCAAAGTTTGTAAATCAAAGGAAAACAGATTTGTCATTATTTAGTGGTGTCTTCTTCCAGATTCTCAAGTTTCTGTCTAGGTTAATAAGGTTCAGTCCAGACTTCCAGGCTTCGAGATTTTGTCCAGGCCCACAAGTTTCAAGTTTCTCTCCAGGCTAACCAAATAGATTTATTGAAATCTGTTTATCTGATTTATCAGTCGGGGTGCCCAATCAATCACCAAGGCAGCCAGTTAATCAGTCTCAGATTTATAGATAGTCAATCAGCTTATCAACCAGTCAGTCAGGCAGTTACCCAATCAACCATCAGCCGGTGTTTCCATGTTCCACTCTTCTGGTCCCATGTTCCACCCTCCTGGACCCCATGTTCCACCCCCTGGATGACCCCATGTTCCTCCCTCCTGGACCCCATGTTCCACCCGCCTGGTCCCCCTGTCCCCCATGTCCACCCTCCTGGTCCCCATGTTCCACCCTCCTGGTCCCCATGTTCCACCCCCTTCTGGACCCCCATGTTCCACCCTCCTGGTCCCCATGTTCCACCCTCCTGGACCCCATGTTCCACCCTCCTGGTCCCATGTTCCACCCTCCTGGTCCCCATGTTCCACCCTCCTGGTCCCCATGTTCCACCCTCCTGGCCCCCCATGTTCCATCCTCCTGGTCCCCATGTTCCACCCTCCAGGTCCCCATGTTCCACCCTCCTGGACCCCCATGTTCCACCCTCCTGGTCCCCCAATGTTCCACCCTCCTGGTCCCCATGTTCCACCCTCCTGGACCCCATGTTCCACCCTCCTGGACCCCATGTTCCACCCTCCTGGTCCCCCATGTTTCCACCCTCCTGGTCCCCATGTTCCACCCTCCTGGTCCCCCATGTTCCACCCTCCTGGTCCCCATGTTCCACCCTCCTGGACCCCATGTTCCACCTCCTGGTCCCCCCATGTTCCACCCTCCTGGACCCCATGTTCCACCCTCCTGGTCCCCCATGTTCCACCCTCCTGGTCCCCATGTTCCACCCTCCCTGGTCCCCATGTTCCACCCTCCTGGTCCCCATGTTCCACCCTCCTGGACCCCCATGTTCCACCCTCCTGGTCCCCCATGTTCCACCCTCCTGGTCCCCATGTTCCACCCTCCTGGTCCCCCATGTTCCACCCTCCTGGTCCCCCAATGTTCCACCCTCCTGGTCCCCCATGTTCCATCCTCCTGGTCCCCATGTTCCACCCTCCAGGTCCCCATGTTCCACCCTCCTGGTCCCCATGTTCCACCCTCCTGGACCCCATGTTCCACCCCTCCTGGTCCCCCATGTTCCACCCTCCTGGTCCCCATGTTCCACCCTCCTGGTCCCCCATGTTCACACCCTCCTGGTCCCCCAATGTTCCACCCTCCTGGTCCCCCCTGTTCCACCCTCCTGGACCCCATGTTCCACCCTCCTGGTCCCCCAATGTTCCACCCTCCTGGTCCCCCATGTTCCACCCTCCTGGTCCCCCATGTTCCATCCTCCTGGTCCCCATGTTCCACCCTCCAGGTCCCCATGTTCCACAATAGGGACCTTAATAGCTTCATCTCCATATATGTACTCAGACTCGAACCACAAATCACCAGGAGTGACTCCCTTTCCATTTCTCTGCAATGTCTCGTTTGGGTCAATGCAGTAATCCTCATTCCTGCACAGTTTGCAGAGTGCACTTGAGGCTCGAGCAATTGACTCCTGGCAGGTATTTCTGCATTCTGCAATATCAAACTCGCCACTTAACAAGCAAATTGGTTATTTGCATCTTGATAGAGATCAGATAAGGTTTCAGCGGTGGGGATATGTAGTATATATATATATATATATATGCAGTCTTCTTTTGATTTGTGCATAAAATACTTTGTTTTTTATATATTTATATGTGTTTATATATGTGCGGGTAAGGAAAAGCTTTAGGGGCTATGTCGGGATTTTTTTTAATTTTTTGACCAAATGGCTACTAGACTGTTAAGTATTAGACCACAGTACTCTGGGACATATTTAAATATTTACTCAAAATTACATACATAAATTACATATTTACTCAAGACTAATTTGCGCTAAGGAAATATATATATAATATATATATATATATATATAATATATATATAATATATATATATATATATATATATATATATATATATATATATTATATATATATATATATAATATATATATATTGCCCTTAAATTTGTAAAACAATTTTGTTAATTTATACAAAAATTATTATAATTCATATAATATAAAATTTAAAAACTATCATAAAATAAAAAAAATCACAATACTGATTATCTTCTTTTTAATGTCATATTAGTGAAATTTTATAAAAAAAAAATCATAATAATTTCTTTATTAATTTGTAAAATTAAAAACATTGTGACTCCAATTACTACATTTTGTATATGGAAGAAATTTTCACCACATAGCATAAAAAGTGACACCATGAGACGTATTTTCCCCTCCGTCCATAAATGTTTTACAAGATGAAAATTCTGACGTTGAAAAATTTTCGCAACGGTTAGCTGGAAAAAACTTTTATTTTTCATTTATTTGGGTAAATATTCCGGAGCCGGTTTTTGACTGAGGACTTTCATAGCGGGAAAACATTGCATATCTAGGGTCATCGGTGGCTCGAACCCAGGCCCCCTGAAATATACGATTCTAGTGAAACTACAATAGGGCTTCATTAGGCTTGTAGGCCTCCTTCTGAAAAGCCATAATCTGTATCATAAAACACGCACACACTCATATTCGGCCTCCCTGGTAGGCCTCTTGGTCAGGTCTACATCACCAGCAAACATATTTGGTAAGCTAGGTTAGGTTAGGTTAGGTTACGTTATGTTACGTTACATTAGTATAGGTTAGGTTAGGTTAGTTCAGGTTAGGTTAGGTTAGGTTAGTTTAGGTTAGGTTAGGTTAGTATGATGGTGATATAAGCCTTAACAAACCACCTGATGGTGATATAAGCCTTAATAACTCTCCAGATGGTGATATAAGCCTTAATAACCCTCCTGATGATGATATAGGGCTTAATAACCCTCCTGATGGTGATATAGGGCTTAATAACCCTCCTGATGGTGATATAGGGCTTAATAACCATCCTGATGGTGATATAGGGCTTAATAACCCTCCTGATCGTGATATAGGGCTTAATAACCCTCCTGATGGTGATATAAGGCTTAATAACACTCCTGATGGTGATATAGTTCTTAATAACCCTCCTGATGGTGATATAAGGCTTAATAACACTCCTGATGGTGATATAGTTCTTAATAACCCTCCTGATGGTGATATAGTCATTAATAACCCTCCTGATGGTGATATAAGGCTTAATAACACTCCTGATGGTAATATAGTTCTTAATAACCCTCCTGATGGTGATATAAGGCTTAATAATAACACTCCTGATGGTGATATATTTCTTAATAACCCTCCTGATGGTGATATAAGCCTTAATAACCCTCCTGATGGTGATATAAGCCTTAATAACCCTCCTGATGGTGATATAAACCTTAATAACCTTCCTGATGGTGATATAGTCTTTAATAACCCTCCTGATGGTGATATAAGACTTAATAACCCTCCTGATGGTGATATAGTCCTTAATAACCCTCCTGATGGTGATATAAGCCTTAATAACCCTCCTGATGGTGATATAAACCTTAATAACCTTCCTGATGGTGATATAGTCCTTAATAACCCTCCTGATGGTGATATAAGACTTAATAACCCTCCAGATGGTGATATAAACCTTAATAACCCTCCTGATGGTGATATAGTCCTTAATAACCCTCCTGATGGTGATATAAGCCTTAATAACCCTCCTGATGGTGATATAGTCCTTAATAACCCTCCTGATGGTGATATAAGCCTATAATAACCCTCCAGATTGTGTTATAGGCATTAATAACCGTCCGGATGGTGATATAAGCCTTAACAACCCTCCAGATGGTGATATAGGCCTTAATAACCCTCCTGATGGTGATATAAGCCTTAATAACCCTCCAGATGGTGATATAAGCCTTAATAACCCTCCAGATGGTGATATAAGCCTTAATAACCCTCCTGATGGTGATATAAGCCTTAATAACCCTCCAGATGGTGATATATGCATTAATAACCCTCCTGATGGTGATATAGTCCTTAACAACCCTCTAGATGGTGTTATAGGCCTTAATAACCCTCCAGATGGTGATATAAGGCTTAATAACCCTCCTGATGGTGATATAAGCCTTAATAACCCTCCTGATGGTGATATAAGCCTTTATAACTCTCCAGATGGTGTTATAGGCCTTAATAACCCTCCAGATGGTGATATAAGGCTTAATAACCCTCCTGATGGTGATATAAGCCTATAATAACCCTCTAGATGGTGTTATAGGCCTTAATAACCCTCCTGATGGTGATATAAGGCTTAATAAATCTCCTGATGGTGATATAAGCCTATAATAACCCTCTAGATGGTGTTATAGGCCTTAATAACCCTCCAGATGGTGATATAAGCCTTAATAACCCTCCAGATGGTGATATAAGCCTTAATAACCCTCCAGATGGTGATATAGGCCTTAATAACCCTCCTAATGGTGATATAAGCCTTAATAACCCTCTAGATGGTGTTATAGGCCTTAATAACCCTCCAGATGGTGACTTAAGGCTTAATAACCCTCCTGATGGTGATATAAGCCTATAATAACCCTCTAGATGGTGTTATAGGCCTTAATAACCCTCCTGATGGTGATATAAGCCTTAATAACCCTCCAGATGGTGATATAAGCCTTAATAACCCTCCTGATGGTGATATAAGCCTTAATAACCCTCCAGATGGTGATATAAGCCTTAATAACCCTCCAGATGGTGATATAAGCCTTAATAACCCTCCTGATGGTGATATAAGCCTTAATAACCCTCCTGATGGTGATATAAGCCTTAATAACCCTCCAGATGGTGATATAAGCCTTAATAACCCTCCAGATGGTGATATAGGCCTTAATAACCCTCCAGATGGTGATATAAGCCTTAATAACCCTCCTGATGGTGATATAGGCCTTAATAACCCTCGGTCCCAACTGATAGCACCACATCCCCCCCCCTTTCCCTTCAACCCCTTCCCCCTTATCCTAACTCCCTACCATCACCCCCCTACCTCCCCCTTTATCAGAGCCCGAGCCCAAGAACTATGCCCGCGTCGGTTCGGAGTTCAGGACTTCGTGGCACCTCGCGACTAAATGGTTGATCAGGCATTTAAGCTCCAGGGGGCAAGCTATGGCTAATTGAACCTGACGCCCAACAGGAGTCCACCACGCCACAGTCTGGTTGATCCACAATGGATTAATCTGCGTCAACAGACTCACTCTCGCATACGCACTTGCGTCAACAAACTCACTCTCGCATACACACTTGCGTCTGTAGACCTCACTCCTCGAATACACACTTGCGTCTAGAGACTCACTCTCTCATACACACTTGCGTCTAACAGACGCACTCTCGAATACACACTTGCGTCTAGAGACTCACTCTCACATACACACTTGCGTCTAGAGACTCACTCTCACATACACACTTGCGTCTAGAGACTCACTCTCACATACACACTTGCGTCTACAGACTCACTCTCGTATACACACTTGCGTCAACTGACTCACTCTCAATACACCCTTAAGGAATTAGTAACACTAACATATATTAAATATTTTAATATTTACGTCTGATAGGAGAAAACCATTTGAGGTAATGAACTAACTTGAACCATCGTTCTAGCGGACCTTAGAGTCTTAGTCTGCTGGGGCCAGATTCACGAAAGCACTTACGCAAGTACTTACGAACGTGTACATCTTTCCTCAATCTTTGACAACTTTGTTTCCATTATTAAACAGTTTACAAGCATGAAAACTTGCCATTCAACTGTTGTTATTGTTATAAACAGCCTCCTGGTGCTTCGGAGCTCATTAACTGTTTAATAACTGGAACCAAGCCGCCAAAGATTGAGAAAGATGTACAGGTTCGTAAGTGCTTTCGTGAATCTGGCCCCTGGTCAGTGTGAGTGTTCTGGGGGGGGGGGCCTTAACTATTTAATAAAAATACATGAATGATTATTCCTCTTTTTTCGTTTTTGCGTCTGTTTGTTCATTTGAGAGCCCTTGTTAGCTGACGCAGGACCGAAAATTTGCGTTCCAAATTGATCCAATTGTGTCGTCAGCCTTTGAGGATTGGGTCTGTTCGGTCTGGTGTTGTAGAGATCGATGGGTTTGATGGTGTTATGATTTCATTGATGTATAATACTATAAAGTCTCTAATTGCACCTTTATGTACTCTTCAAATCAACGATTGTGTACATATTATCCTCGTTATCGTGTTGTCTTGCCTATATATTGAGATCCATTGGAGCTGAGAGTTCCTCCCAAAAGGAGGGCGAAGGCATGTGAAATCATAGATTTTTTTTTTCTCCTTGTGTTTCTTCAGAGTTCTTCATGAACTTGCAGTGTTCTTCGTCTTTTAGTGATGAGAACCGTGTATTTTTAGTCATTGTCAATAGAGGTGTATTTTTAGGTCATTTTTTTTTTTTTTTTTTTTTTTGGTTGGTATGGTGATAGTATGTTGTTGTCTTCTTTTGCCTCCCTGTATCTGTTTGTAATTAATTTTTTATTTTAAAACTTTATTAGACAAAATTGGTTATAACATTGGTTACAATATTCTTACAACATTGGTTACATACAAGGAAAGAAGTTAATTGTCACAGTCTGTCGAGTTCCTCCAACTCTTGATTGTTCCTCCAACTCTTGATTGTTCCTTCAACTCTTGATTGTTCCTCCAACTCTTGATTGTTCCTCCAACTCCAGGCAGGAGCCCTGATTGTAGTGTGTGTTTTCCCCTCTGTTCGTTTCGCTCTGTGGTCTCTTGTTGCTGTCGTTGGTTTAGAACCCCAGATCTTGCAAAACAAAAAAAATTGCGCTCTTACTCTGAAGCAATGGTGAGAAAATTGCAATAGGAATCCAGTTTTCTGTATATATGGCTGATTCCCTGTGTGTGGCAGCGCCGCCCTGGATGTGCAACACTAAGCTCAATGTAGGTGTTAGCCAGGTTGATACGTGTGTAATTCCACACCAACTGCTCACCGTTCCTACAGTGGGTCTCACTGTGAACCCATCTGGGTAACCAACAGGATCTTCAGATTTACGAGGAATTGCGTAACAAGGGTTCTCTCTCTACTGGACATCCAGCTGTGTTAAAGCACCTCTTAATAATGTCATAAACTTTACTGTCGTAAGAGTACCATCCCTTAGCAGAGTGCATTAGCACTCTGCTAATGCAGAGTGCTTACCCTGACTTCTTCATGTCAGGGGTAGTGAACAGGAACTTCCTCCAGTGTCAGAGTAGTGAACAGGAACTTCTTCAGTGTCAGAGTAATGAACAGGAACTTCTTCAGTGTCAGAGTAGTGAACAGGAACTTCTTCAGTGTCAGAGTAATGAACAGGAACTTCTTCAGTGTCAGAGTAGTGAACAGGAACTTCTTCAGTGTCAGAGTAGTGAACAGGAACTTCTTCAGTGTCAGAGTAGTGACCAGAACTTCCTCAGTGTCAGAGTAGTGAACAGGATCACAACAGTGTACCTACCAGCCTCTGAATCACGGCAAGTAGACCAATATTCAGTGTAAACTGGGGCAGCAAGATGACTAATCACTATAATCAGAGTTAGTGCACAGTGTGTGAGACGCATGCCAGTTGCTGACATTGCGATTGCTAATAGAAACTCACCCACATGATGACTGCTTTTGCAATGAGGTGAGCAATGTCCGCACGATTTTCTTGCATCATCCAGGTCCACTGCAGCTGCTTAGTTTACAATGGGCCGTCTCATCGCTGGATTACTCATTGGGCTTCAGATGGTGGTGGAGAGTGCTTCACAACAGGAATCACAGTTGGGAACGATCCGTGGAACAAGGTTTTAAAACTCAACCAATATACCTTTTCAAGG